GTGATTGATATGTATACCTATATGAGATATGTGATATTATTAGATCTATTAGGTGCTATTATCAAGTTTTTCAATAGGTTTATGCTGTCTTTATAGGATGTGTTGATAAGTGTTCTAAAATTTATAGGAAATTTGGAAATCATTGGCTCCTTGTATATTTATTGGACTCCTCCATGGGATCTTCCTGATCCAGGGATCAAACTTGGGTCTCCTGCATTGTAGGAAGATTTTTTTTTAATCACTGAGCCACCAGGGAAGCACATATTTATTAGAAATAACCCACAAAACAATTTGGCCCTAGCATTTTTTCAGAGGGTTTATCTTTGGCCATTTGCTCAATTCATCCACAACTATTGATTTGTTAAATTTTTTTCTTCTTCTTTGCTTTAGTCAATTTTTATAGCCTTTATTTCCAATAGAAATTATATGACTTCTTCTATCCTGTAATTCTTTTTTCATCCTGTAAATTTTTGAAACTACATTTCAATGCTTTGAGTCTTTACTTCTCTTCCTTAGTAGGCTACAAGTCCCTAGTGTATATTTGTTTATGTGTCCCATCAAGACGTGCACTCCTGAATGTGACTGGGTCTTTGGGGAATAAAAAGAAAATTCCTTTGATGTACCTTGTCAGGTGCCCATAAGGTAAGAGGACTATTTTCCTTACTTCACAAATGAGAAACCATAGTAGCAGTGTCTTTCCTAAAGTAAGGAAAAATTGAAGTTTCAAGAAAAAAAATTCCCCCCCCCCCCCCCGCTGGAACACAGGCACAATTTGTGGGGTCTTAGCTCCCTGACCAGGGATTGAACCCAGGCCTATGTAGTGAAAGCATGGAGTCTAAACCACTGAGAATTCCCTCAAAATTTCTTTTAATACCAAGATATAAATATAAATAATAAACAAACATAATGCATATAAGTAATGTATTATAGAGGGATGGTATGGGGAAGCAGGTGAGGGGGGCGGTTTGGGACAGGGGGACACATGTACACCCGTGGCTGATTCATGTCAATGTATGGCAAAAACCACCGCAATATTGTAAGGTAATTAACCTTCAATTAAAATAAATGAATTAATTAAAAAATTATAGTCTAAAACAATAAAAAGAATTCGGTTAGAAAGTCTGTCTTGTACTAGTGAATTGATGGCAGTTTTATGTGCTCCTAAAACATAGGATTGACAAAATAAAAACCTGTTTGCTTTTTATCTGTCTCTCTTTGGGAAAAGAGTGTGTGTGTGTGTGTGTGTGTGTGTGTGTGTGTGTGACAGGGATTGACCATCTTGTATCTTTAACTACTGAGTTTCTTAAGTTCTAAAATGAATCTTTCCTTCCTCCACATTTAAGTGTCCCTGAAATTAAGATGTAACAAGCTCCAGGAGATGGTGAAGGACTGGGGAGCCTGGCGTGATGCAGTCCATGGGGTCGCAGAGAGCCGGACACGACAGAGCGCCTGAATAGCAGCAACAATCATGAATATATGCAATATGGTTGTGCTTCTTTTTACTACCTAGCTGTTATGACTGGCAAGTGTGTTTTACAGTCATGACATTTTCAATTAAAATGTGATAAGTGTAGTTGCTATACAAAATAGTTGAAAGTCCATCTCTGTGTCTCATTTCATGATGTGTAGCAGCAATTCACTTGGTGTGACATGGGAGAAATGGTGTAATCTACAATATATGCATTGTATTATCTTTCTAAAATCTAAGAAACTAAAAATTACAAAGCCTATCTGGTCCCAGGAAATTCAAATAAAGGGAGGTGGCCCTGTATAAAGCCTACAGTGTAAGAGCATAGTATACTCTGATTCAATCATTTCCTTCTCCTTTGACTTTCATAAAGGAGTTTCTGTTCAAGAAGTAAAGCCAATCTTAAATACTTAAAGGCCACAATTAAGTAGAATTTATCAACTTCTTACATACATTCATTCATTCATCCCTTTCCACATGTTTGAAACACTTACAGCTTCTTATGGGTCAGGCACTATTCCAGACCCCGAGGCTATAAAGGAGCATTAGATCTACTAATCCGAAGTTTGAAATACGCAGTGGGTTGGTTCCTTTAGTGTATTTTTGTTTTTATTTTCATTACTCTCACACATGGATCAAAAAAACCTTGCTGGGCTTTCTGTCACACTCTAGAGTGTTCTGCTTATGTTTTCCTCTAAAGTTTTACAGTATCCAGCCTTACATTTAGGTCTTTAATCCATTTTGAGATTATTTTTTGTGTGTATGGTGTGAGAGAATGTTCTCATTTCCAGGCACGTGAAAAGATACTTGACATCATGAATTACTAGAGAAGTGCAAATCAGAAGTACAATTAGGTATTTCCTCACACTGGTTAGAATGGTCATCATCAAAAAGTCTACAAACAATAAATGCTGGAGAGGATGTGGCGAAAAGGGAGCCCTCCTAAACTGTTGGTGGGAATGTAAATTGGTACAACCACTATGAAGAACAGTATGGAGATTTCTTTAAACACTAAAAGTGGAGCTACCATATGATCCAGCAGTCCCACTTCTGGGCATAAATCTAGAGAAAATCACAATTGGAAAGCATATATGTACCCCTGGTGGCTTCCCTGGTGGTTCAGGCAGTAAAGAATCTGCCTGCAGTGCGGGGGACCTTGGCTTGATCCCTGGGTTGGGAAGACCCCCTGGAGAAGGAAATGGCAACCCACTCCAGTATTCTTACCAGGGAAATCCCGTGGACAGAGGATCTTGGTGGGCTACAGTCCATGGGAACACAAACAGTCAGACACGACTGAGCGACTAATACTTAGGCTTTGACTTTTGACATGTACCCCAAGGTTCATTGCAGCTCTCTTTACAATAGCCAGGTCAAGGAAGCAACCTGAAAATTCGCCGGTAGATGAATGGATAAACAATATATACATATATACAATGGAATGTTACTCAGCCATTAAACAATGAAATTATGCCATTTACAGCGACATGGATGGATCTAGAGATTGCCACACTGAGAAAGTCAGAGAAAGACAAATATTGCTTATCAGTTCAGTTCAGTTCACTCAGTCGTGTCTGACTCTTTGTGACCCCATGGATTGCAACAGGCCAGGCTTCCCTGTCCATCACCAACTCCCAGAGTTTACGCAAACTCACCTCCATTGAGTTGGTGATGCCATTCCACCATCTTAATCCTGTTGTCCCCTTCTCCTCCTGTCCCCAATCCCTCCCAGCATCAGGGTCTTTTCCAATGAGTCAACTCTTCACATCAGGTGGCCAAAGTATTGGAGTTTCAGCTTCAGCATCAGTCCTTCCAATGAATATTCAGGACTGATTTCCTTTAGGATGGACTGGTTGGATTTCCTTGCAGTCCAAGGGACTCTCAAGAGTCTTCTCCAACACCACAGTTTGAAAGCATCAATTCTTTGGCGCTCAGCTTTCTTTATGGTCCAGCTCTCACATCCATACATGACTACTGGAAAAACCATAGCCTTGACTAGATGGGCCTTTGTTGGCAAAGTAATGTCTCTGCTTTTTAATATGCTGCCTAGATTGGTCACAGCTTTCCTTTCAAGGAGCAAGTGTCTTTTAATTTCATAGCTGCAGCCACTATCTGCAGCGATTTTGGAGCCCCACAAAATAAAGTCTGCCATTGTTGCCCCTAGATGTGGCAATAGATGTTCCCCATCTATTGCTTGTATGTGGAATCAAAAGAAATGGTACAAATCAATGTATTTACAAAATAGAAGTTGAGCTATAGATGTAGAAAGCAAATTTGTGGGGAGGGAAAATTTGGAAGACTGGAATTGACATAGGCTATATGTAGAATAGATATATTCTGTCTATAGAATATAGATATGTATAGAATATCTATATATATGGAATAGATAACAAATATATATATAGAATAGATAACTAATAAGAACTCTACTGAAAAGTACAGGAGACTATTCAATGTGCTGTAATGACGTATATAGGTGCAGAGTCTACAAAACAGTGTATACATGCATATGTGAACTGACTTACTTTTCTGTACAGCAGATACTAACAGAGCATTGTAAATCAACTATATCTCAATAAGAATATTAGAAAGAAACAAATAAAATACACAGTGGTAAGGGGAATGATGAAGAAGGACACATAGGGAAAAATAAAAGTACTTGTTAGATTGGTATGGCTTTTTCTTTTGTCAACCAGTTGAACTAGTTTATGCCTGAGAAAGTGATGTGAACAGCAGGGCAGGTAGTTGCAGATGCTTGCCATGGCTGTAGTTACATACGGGGACTTTACAAAATCAAACGGTGTAAGACCCAGGTCCCATCCAAGCCTGACAAAGTCATGAGGAGTGAAAAGCAATGGAAATCCTTAAAAACGAAGACTCTTTACATATACCGAATGATTGTGTAGGGCTCTGCTGGTGTGTTTAACAGATGAACTGACTAAAAAGAAGGCCCAAAGTGGCTGAGAAAACAGAAATGATAGAGCAGATTTACAGTGTTTGGTACCTGTTGTTGCTTAGTCACTAAGTCATGTCCTACCCTTTAGGGACCCACTGGACTGTAGCTTGCCAGGCTCCTCTGTCCATGAGATTTCCCAGGCAATAATACTGGAGCAGCTTGCCATTTCCTTCTCCAGGGGACCTTCCTGACCCAGGGATTAGTAAACAGTTTTAGGGTAATGATTGTTGAGCTGGGCCCAGCTGCTGGGCCCCTGGTGTGTTGAGACAAGGGTCCCTGTGGCCTTCTCCCGGCCTGGACTTTGCAGAGCTGTCCACGGTCCGGAGCCCCACTTCCATTACTGCTCTCGTTTGTGCCTGGCTTGCTGTCAGCTGCATCTCAAGGACTGTTCTTCTGTGTGTCTACATTCGCTGATGCTCCTGCTCCATGCTGATGTGCTGGGCCACTGATCCTTTGTATCTGTGCCACCCTGGTGTAGTGAATTGTCTATGTACGGTTGAGCCGCAATATATGACAGCTAATATTTAAAAAAATATTTCAATTGTATACTTGCATCTTGGTCCTCTGACTGTAAGGAGACTATTCCTTTTCAAACAGCATGAATCTTCCCCTCAGCCTCCGCATGGCCGCCTTCATCTCCTGGTTCCCCAGGGTGTAGATCAGCGGGTTCAGGACAGGAATGATGACAGTGAAGGTGATGGAGACAGCTCTGTCGGTGGGGAGGGCGGAGAAGGGCCGGGCGTAGGCGTAGATGCAGGGCACAGAGTGGAGGCTGACCACCGTGATGTGGGCGGTGCAGGTGGAGACGGCTTTCCCCCGGCCCTCCCCGGAGTGCGACCTCAGCATGGTCAGGGTGACCGCGCAGGATACAAGCAGGAAGACGAACCACAGGGTGGCGAGCAGGCCGCTGCTGGAAATCATCAGGAGCCAGCGCAGGCGAGTGTGAGGACCTGGGGGCCGGCGCAGTAGAAACCGTCCAGGACGTTGGGTCCGCAGAAGGGGAGGGGGAGGAGGAGGGAGATCTGCACGACGGAGTGGACGAAGCCCCCCGCCCAGGAGGCCGCGAGGAGGGCGGCGCAGCGCCGCCGACTCAGGACGGTCCCGAGGTGCAGGGGCCTGGAGATGGCCACGTAGCGGTCAAAGGCCATCACCGAGAGGGCCAAGATGTCCGCGCCCCCGAGGAGGTGGACGAGAAGCATCTGCGTGGGGCAGCCGCGGAAGGAGATGGTCTTTCTCTCCGAAAGAAGGCCCACCGGGACCCTGGGGGCGGTGACGGAGGAGAAGCAGGTGTCCGGGACGGAGAGGCCGCGGAGCAGGAAGTCCATGGGGGTCTGCAGGCGGGACTCGCAGCGCACAGTGGCCGTGATGGCAGCATTTGCTAACACAGTTGTTACACAAACTATAGATAAAAGGAAAAATAGGAGCGCACTCAGCTTTGAGACTGGGTAAGTCCACAGAAGATAAATTCCGACACCCTGGTATGATTTTTCAAGGCCATTGGATGACATTTATTCCTTCATGTACAGCTTTGACGGAGAAGAGAATGGCAACCCACTCTAGTGTTCTTGCCTGGAGAAATCCATGGACAGAGGAGCCTGGCAGGCTACAGTCCGTGGGGTCACAGTGAAGCGGACACGACGGAGTGACTAACACACACGTACAGCTTTGAAGGAAATAATGACATTACTGAGAAAATTAAATCAAGCAGTTTTACTTCTTATGCGGAAATTGCACATACATAATTTAAAAAGACCATATATCTTGGGCTTCCCCAGTGGCACAGAGGATAGGAATCCATCTGCCAGTGCAGGGGACCTCAGTTCAATCCCTGTTCCTGGAAGACTCCACATGCCACAGAGCCACTGAGCCAATGGACCGCAGCTACTGAACCCCACGTGCCTAGAGCCTGTGCCCCACGACGAGAGAAGCCCCTGCAATGAGAAGCCCGAGAGAAACTCTCTGCAACTAGAGAGTAGCCCACACGCAACAATGAAGACCCAGTGCAGCTAGAAAGAAAGAAAGTAAAGAAAGACAGCAGTGTGTGCACATCAAAAAAATAAACAAATAATCACACATCTTATTCTATGTGAATCTGCTCTGTTACCTGGAAAAATCACTCGGTTCTACTTGCTCCAGCTCCCCAACTAGCATAGGTGGTAGGCCCGTTTCCCTCCTGTTTTCTGTGAGGAGTCTTTGGGTTCTGTTCAAGTTGATTATAGAAGCTTCTGAGGAAAGGAACTTAAGGAAGGTTTTATATGAGCCGTTGTGGATTCTCTATATCTTCATGAGTCAGAGCTACAACTATTGAGCCTGTGCTCTAGAGCCTGGGAACTGCAATTAATGAGCCCAGGTGTTACTGAGGTTTGAGCACCCTGGAGCCCTGCTCCATGCCGGGAGAAGCCACGCACTGCAACCAAGAGTAGTCCCCCCACCACAACTACAGAAATGCCTGCACGGCCATGAAGCCAGCACAGCCAAAAATAAAAATCAACTAAAAAAATTGAAAATAGTTAACTTAGATTTTGAGAAAAAAGCCATCCTCAGCCTAGCTGAGTTATCTGAAACTACCATAGAGATACGTGGTCCCTAGGTTACTGCCCAGCTGAGATGCATCATACTTGGTTTGTGTTGAAACCAGCTTTCAGAGCCTTGAGAAATTATGTGGATAATAAAACATACGTTGCCTCTCATTTGCTCTGGAGGATATGACTGCTTGTTGGGCTTCTCTGGTGACTCAGCTGGTAAAGAATCCTCCTGCAATGTGGGAGACCTGGGTTCCATCTCTGAGTTGGGAAGATCCCCTGGCGAGGGGAAAGTCTACCCACTACAGTATTCTGGACTGGAGAATTCCATGGACTGTATAGTCCATGACGTCGCAGAGAGTCAGACACAACTGAGCGACTTTCACTTTCACTTGGTTTTCCCAGTTTATTCTGTCTTTGCGGGGATCATTCCCTTTACAGCATGTACTGATTAAGTAGTGCATTTCATCCAAGAGACTTACCTGAGTCACCCATCTTGCAAGGAATTTAGATACTTTGTCGAGTCTCTTCTGAAAATTCTACTTTCTTCATGTTTCTCATGCATTCCCTTAACTTCATCCTCAGTTAAACCCTTATCATCTCTGCTTAGATTGTTGCAGGAATTCCCTAACTAGTCTTTTCTTTGGTGGAGTTGTCTCTAATTCATCCTCTTTGTTGTTTCAAGAAATATTAATATATTAATATTTATAAGTCACAAATGGGCTCATTTATTCCTTTGTGGGAGACCTGGGTTTGATCCCCATGTCGGGAAGATCCCCTGGAGAAGGAAATGGCAACCCAGTTCAGTATTCTTGCCTGGAAAATCCCATGGACAGAGGAGGCTGGTAGGCTACAGTCCATGGGGTCGCAAAGAGTTGGACATGACTGAGTGACTTCTCTCTTTATTCCTTTGTTTGAAAATTTTCAGTGGTTCCCTATTATCTACAGAATAAAGATCAAACTCCTCTTTTTTTCTTTTTATTGAAGTATCGTTGGTTTACAAAGGTTGTGTTAGTTTAACTGTACAGCAAAGTGATCCAGTTATACATCTATCTATCTATTCTTTCTCAAATTATTTTCCCTCATAGATTATTACAAGATAAGGCTCAAACTCCTCTTATAGCATCCAAGACTTTTTTCCATCTTGATTATTATCTTGTGCTCTGTTTTCTTTGATCCTATTTCAGGTCTTTATTTATTTGCTTATTTTTTCAGGTCTTTAAGCATTATGTAAATTCTTTCTGGCCCACAACTTTTTTTTTTTTAATTCAATAAGATACTTTTAATTCACCCACTTTCATTTCCTATTATCAGAGAAATGTATATCCTTTTCTGACCACCAAAAACTCCCAAATTATACAGACTTTCAAACTCCAAAAAATGAAATCAGCTCTGAATTATTCTGCAACATTTAACAAACGTCTATAGCTGAAACCTATACGTGATGACAGGATTTTATTAAATCTTGGCCAAGGCCCATGAGTAAAACTTCAGATTAACTTTCAAAAGCCAACACACATAAAAATCAGATTTCCTTATGCCTAAATCACCGCTGAGTTTTAAATCCCGTCTGGCCAGTCTTGGCTGTTTCAGTGTTGGTTCCTTTAACCTGTAAATGTCAAGGCCAGTCGGAGGTAAGGGTCATGTGGTCTTAGGGAAAGAGAATAAGAGAATGAGGAAAATATTTCCAAATCTCAGAGGACAGGTACTTGAGGAAAAAGTAAAAGAACTGCATGATGCATGCTTTTTTGCCACATTTTGGAATATAAGCTCAAATCCAAAGTCTTCTAAGAACACTGAGCACAGGAAAAAGATGAAGTGTTTAGAGATTAACAAATAGTTTACAAATTTCAAGGGAAATTCATTCCCTCGTGGGCAAAGGAAATCTATATCCTGCAGCCAACAACATAGAACATCGCTTTCAGTGTGTTAGGGGAGATTTCTTGGAATAGGTGACATCAGAGATGATTTTGAAGGACTGGTAGTACTAGAAGGGAAGGCCCACAATTTTGGATCTGTATTCCTCTTGTTCTCCCCATCTACTATGTCCTCCCCACTCTCATGATCTTCTCATTGATGAGCAGTGATCTTTCAGACTCTGGGAGTTGGTGATGGACAAGGAAGCCTGCTGCAGTCCATGGGATTGCAAAGAGTCGGACACAACTGAGCGACTGAACTGAACTGATCTTTCAACATTCAGGTCCAGAGTCTCCTCTTCTGTGGACATTTTCCTGATATCCTTTTATGACTCATAATTCCCTGCACTGACTTCTCATCTGGCACCTATAACAGGTTATTCCATCTAATTTCTTTTGTCTCTCCTAAGTTCAGTATATTTCCTTGTTATACCTCAAGTCCTTCCTGTCTGCTCAGTATTTCATTTAACCTAATGTCATCAAAGCCTTCCTTAGTCTGGGACACATGTTAGGTGCTTAGTAGTTTTTTTTTAATTAATGAATAAACTTCACTGGTAAGTGCACATCTGGATTTACAAGCCTTGGCTTCGGATTGGGTGAGAATGAGGAAAAAGGATCTAGACAAACGTAAGAAACCATTTTGTTAATGTCTTTGACTTGGCCTTAGGGATAGCAGAGATTTGTTTTCTGCTCCAGGCTATAAAATAGCTCTGTGACCTTGAGAAAGTTCTGTTGCCTTTCTGTGCCTTGGATCCTCAGTTCTAAAATGTAAGAACAGTCTAGAATGATGCAATGTTATGTACCATCCAGTGTGATGTAGTGTAAGATGTAAGACAGTCTTAAGAGCTTTGGAGAAGCATCAGGACTGGAATTTTATCACTTCCTCCTTTGTCACTTGGAGCAAGTCCTTTATTTATTTTCCTTTAATTTTCCCCTCTGTAGACAGGGAAGCAGAACACTTACTTCAATGGGCAGCACAAGTAATAAACTGTAACCGTCTTTGTATAAAGTGCCCGGGACTTTCCGGTAATAGGTGTTCCAGTTACTTGTTTCTGCCACCCCACTGCCTCTGCCAATCCAAACATATCTTCCCTGAAGGGTTAATTATGGGGTGTGTGTGTGTGTGTGTGTAAATGCTATTCAATAGAAGAACAGCTTCTCTTTGAACCAACTTGCTTATTATTGTTCCAATGATCTTGTGTGAAAACAAGCAGACAGAGGCCTTAGTTCTGGGTCATCAGGTTTGGAAATAAAGCTGCCTCCAGAGCAAAGACAAAAGAGACTCATTGAGCCATTGGCAATATACAGATATGAGGCTGTTTGAAACCTCCATAGTTTTTTAAGAGAATTTGGGGTTAAGATCACCTTTTTAAAGGAAGCACCCATCTTGTGGAAAGAGGCTCTGTGGTCCCTATGGACAAACCCTAAGCTGGAAAAAATTCTACTCCTTTTATGCAACTCAGTCATTCCATTGAACACAAACTGCTTTCTCTCTTACCATGGTGACCCCATCTCTGTAACTCCTTAGGAAGAGATTCCTGCTTTCCCAATATTTAACATCACTTATTTTTGTTGCTAAAGTTTTCAGCTATTTTTGCAGCATATGATACACCAGGTATATTTTTCATGCTCATACCATTTATGTGTAATCCACAGTGCTTCACACTCTGATGGCTCAATGTCCTTACCTAAATCCTTCAGTATCCAAGCAGGAATCCACACATTCTGAGACTGGGTGGGTGGGCCTCAGTGTCTATGCTGCTGGGGAAATAGCACATTAGAAGGCAAAGTTCCTCTAATGGTTAGTTATTCTGGATGTCAGCCTCTTCTCTTCAACCTTCACGTTGGAAAAGGCAGCCTCAGGGGGTCACGCCATCATGGCTCTTCTCCTTCTCCCAGAGTGCCCCTGCTGTGCTCACTAGTCCCTGAGGACCAAGCCTGACATGAGAATTAGTAAAGGGAGTGTTATTGGATGTGAGTGTGGAAACAGAATGGACATTCTTCTGCTAGTGCTGGAGTTCCAGTGGGCGTTATTATACAGTTCCCAAGTCATTACTGCACACAAGTGCACACATACATGAAAATGCCCAATTTCTACTACACCTTCCAAATTCTTGCAAGACCCCAGACACATAACTCTAAGTTCAGTTCAGTTCAGTTCAGTCGCTCAGTCATGTCCGACTCTTTGCGACTCCATGAATTGCAGCACGCCAGGCCTCCCTGTCCATCACCAACTCCCGGAGTTTACCCAAACCCATGCCCATCGAGTCGGTGATGCCATCCAGCCATCTCATCCTCTGTTGTCCCCTCCTCCTCCTGCCCCCAATCCCTCCCAGCATCAGGGTCTTTTCCAATGAGTCAACTCTTCCCATCAGGTGGCCAAAGTATTGGAGTTTCGGCTTCAACATCAGTCCTTCCAATGAACACCCAGGACTGATCTCCTTTAGGATGGACTGGTTGGATCTCCTTGCAGTCCAAGGGACTCTCAAGAGTCTTCTCCAATACCACAGTTCAAAAACATCAATTCTTCAGTGCTCAGCTTTCTTCACCGTCCAACTCTCGCATCCATACATGACCACTGGAAAAACCATAGCCTTGACTAGATGAACCTTTGTTGGCAAAGTAATGTCTCTGCTTTTAAATATGCTGTCTAGGTTGGTCATAACTTTCCTTCCAAGGAGTAAGCATCTTTTAACTTCATGCCTGCAATCACCATCTACAGTGATTTTGGAGCCCAAAAAATAAAGTCTGACACTGCTTCCACTGTTTCCCCATCTATTTGCCATGAAGTGATGAGACCAGATGCCATGATCTTGGTTTTCTGAATGTTGAGCTTTAAGCCAACTTTTTCACTCTCCTCCTTCACTTTCATCAAGAGGCTTTTTAGTTCCTCTTCACTTTCTGCCATAAGGGTGGTGTCTACATACGTTAATATTGTGTGAGTCTCCAAGTTTCAGGGAAACATTTTTATAAAGGTCTAATGTCAATACTTTGGCCACCTGATGTGAAGAGCTAATTCATTAGAAAAACCCTGATGCTGGGAAAGATTGAAGATGGGAGGAAAAAGGGACAACAGAGGATGAGATGGCTGGATGGCATCACCTACTCAATGGACATGAGTTTGAGTGGACTCCAGGAGTTGGTGATGGACAGGGAGGCCTGGTGTGCTGCAGTCCATGGGGTTGCAAAGAGTCGGACATGACCGAGCGACTGAACAAAACTAATGTCATATGATCATTCATTCTCAATGTGGGTATGATGCCCATGGGTGCAAAAACTGGTTCTTGAGAGCCAAAAAAATCTGGGATGTTTTAGTGAGGTGTGCTTCTTCAGACAACTTCAGAACACAAAAAGATTTCTGGTGTATCTTTGGTATTAAATTTTCTTGAGGGAGAGTAATTAGGAAAAATATCTAAAAAAGCTCTTTTGGGGGGCAATAATTTTAAAAAGCTTGAGAAGCACTGGCAGTATGATTAGGATTCCTGACCCAATGTCTCTGTCTTTTAAGGCTCAGAGAAGATCACAGATCTGTGGTCACCTACGAAGACCTTTTTAGCTAAATATTAACCGATCATAAACATTTGCAAAAAATTGCTGTGTGTTGCAATTTCCTCAGCTTCCTTATTTCTATTGCCCTATTGCTTTTAAATTGGAGTTTAGTTGCTTTACAATGTTGTGTTAGTTTTTGCTATAAAGCAAAGTGAATCAGCTGCATGTATATATATATGTCTCCTTTTGTTAACACATTGAGTAGAGTTCCTTGTGATGTACACTAGGTTCTTGTTAGTGAACTTCTCATTAGTTATCTATTTTGTACATAGTAGATATGGCAGTCCCAATCTCAATTCATCCCACCTCCCCTTCCCCCCTTGGCGTCCATAGTTTGTGGGTACAAGTGAACTTATTGGTCTATTTTTGAATGACTATTGGAGGCAGAGGGGTGGAATTTGATGTGAGCATAGAAACAGAAAGGAGATTTATTGTCTCCTTATATATCTACTTTCTTGGAATCCTATTCTTGGAAGAGAGGTTGTTTATAACACAGACCCAGTGGCTGTTCTTAAATGGCTCTGCATGCAATATGTTATTATTTTTTTTCCTTTCCTGGTACACAAAATGGGTCTTGAGTGAGTCAAAAGTTACTTCTTAGGTAATTTTTTTTTTGTACCACACAGATTTGTTCTAAATTGTCTGTGCATACGTAGATGAAAACGATAGCTTTGCTCCAGCTCTGAAAGCTCTGGAGATGAAATGGAAAGTGGGGATGGAAGAAAGCAGGAAGTTCAGGTTAACATAAAATAAATGTGCATTTTGTGCAGATATATCCCCAAACTATACAAGTATTTTTGAGATTAATTTCAGTGTAAAGAAAGTAGAATGAACCAGAGGACAGGGAATATTTGGTCTACTTCTAGATTTGTTCATGCATACATCTGACTCAAAATGTATTTCTTCTCTTTTCACTAGCTGGTGAAATATATTGAAGATTTGGTACTCACAATATTAAATCAAAAAGCAATTATTTCAATAATCAACTGGAAATAGCAGTCGTTAGAGAGAAAATATATGAAATGAATGCATCCACATTCTATGTGTTTGCTCAGTTGCTTCAGTCATGTCTGACTTTTTGCGACCCTATGTACCATAGGCTGCCAGGGTCCTCTGTCCATGGGATTCTCCAGGCAAGAATGCTGGAGTGGATTTCCATGCCCCCCTCCAAGGGATCTTCCTGACCCAGAGATTGAACCCTCCTCTCTTTATGTCTTCTGCACTGGCAGGCGGGTTCTTTGCCACTAGTGACACCTGGGAAGCCCCCCATTCCATCATATATATATGTATATATATACACACATTTGGAGACATAAGAGACACAGGTTCAATCCCTGGGTCGGGAATATCCCCCTAGGGGAGGGCACGGCAACCCACTTCAGTATTCTTGCCTGGAGAAACCCATAGACAGAGGAGCCTGGCAGCCTACAGTCCATAGGGTCACAAAGAGTCAGACACGACTGAAGCGACTTAGCATGCATGCAGCACAGGCATATTTAGGACTAGAGATGTAGATCATAGGGAACATAGATTGTATGCCTGATTAATGCCAGGAGTGGTGTGAGCCTTTACAAACATAATCCTCTCAGCATTGATCATGTTTCATCCTCACAACAATCTTGTAACTAGACAATGTCATTTCCATATCACAAATGGTAAAAGTGAGGAAAGATAGCACTTAGGTTATTGATTTCAACTTTATACCTCATACTTCTCCCCAGTCCCCAGTCCAAGAGCTGATGTTCAATCTCATCTCTCCCTTTTGTTCTTAGAATCTCTCTAATAGAGACTCTCTAATAGAGCTTAGTGGATGTGGGGATATACAGAAATGACTGTGGACAAAGAGATAGCTGTCTCTAATTCTTAGGCTAGTAGTTTGAGAAAACCTCAAACTAGGCTCAAATTAGATTTCCAGTCTCAATCTGACTGCTCATCCTAGTTTATTGCTCTCAAAAGGCCCAAGCCTCCTCTGCAGTCTCTCCATGGCTGCCTTCAGCTCCTGGTTTCTGAGGGTGTAGATCACAGGGTTCAGCATGGGGGTGATGACCGTGTTATTGATGGACACAGCTGTGTCCAGGGGCAGCGTGGTAAAGGGCCGGCAGTAGATGTACACACAGGGCACGAAGTGAAGAGTCACCACCAGGATGCGGGAGGTGCAGGTGGAGAGAGCTTCGCTTCGGCCCTCCGTGGCGTGAGGTCTCAGCATCACCAGGGTGACAGTGTAGGACCCCAGAAGCAGGAGGGACCGCAGCAGGGCCACCAGCCCGTTGCTAGGGGTCAGGAGGAGCTCCAGAGCAACGGAGTCAGTGCGAGCCAGTCTAACCACCTGGGGCACGTCGCGGTAGAAGGCATCCAGGGTGCTGGGGCCACAGAAAGAGAGTCGGAGCGTCAGAATAATCTGAACGGGGAGTGCCGAGTGCCACCCACCCAGGAAGCCACCACCAATCCCACCCGCACCTCTCTCCTCATGATGGTCACGTGATGCAGGGGTTTGGAGATTGCGAGATATCTGTCCCAGGCCATCACAGAGAGGAAAAAAATATCCGCCCCTCCAGCAAAGTGGAAGAAAAAGATCTGTGCCATGCAGCCATTGTAGGAGATGGCTTTCCTCTCTGATAAGAGATCCACCAGGAACTTGGGAACCGTGACGGATGAAAAGACGATGTCCAGGATTGATTTGTTCCGCAGGAGAAAGTACATGGGGGTGTGGGGGTGAGACTCCCAGGTGATGGTCACCACGATGAGGGCATTGCCCAGCACGGTTGTGATGTATACAGCTAGGAAGATGACAAACAGGAAAAGCTCCAGTTCCTGGAAGTGAGTGAGTTCCAGGAAGACAAATTCCCTCACGGTGGTGTGGTTGTTCTGGCCCATGATGGAGAGCACGTTCTTCCAGATCTCCCTTTGGAAAAGATACGTCAGGGTGAACAGCATGGTGCCCTAAGGCAGCAACATCTTTGATCACATATTGGGGTTTTGTTGTTGTTGTTGCTTTGTCTTGGTTTTAAACTTTTTATTTTGTAATGGAGTGTAGCCGATTAACGATGTTGTGATAGCTTTAGGTGAACAGCAAAGGAACTCAGCTGTGTATATACACAAATTCATTCTCCCCTCAAGTCCCCTCCCATCCAGGCTGCCACCTAACATTGAGCAGAGTTCCATGTGCTCTACAGTTGTGGTTTAGTCACTAATCATGTCTGATTCTTTTGTGACCCCACGGACTGTAGCCAGACTCCTCTGTCATGGAATTTTCCAGGCAAGAATACTGGAGAAGGTTGCTGTTCCTTCTCCAGGGGATCTTCCTGATCCAGGGATCAAACCCATGTCTCCTTTGTCTCTTGCATTGCAGGCGGATTCTTTACCACGCACCACCTGGCAAGCCCTTAGTTGGTTTGGTTGGGCCCCAATTATTATTTTCAAATAATGCTGCTCTCAACATTTTGTAAATCCATTTTTGTGTGCCTATGAAAAGCCAGACATAAACATACTGGGTCAAATGCTATGCTAATTTTCTAATTTTAAATGATAACTAAGATATTGTAAAGAAACAGCCTAGGGGCCAGAGGGGCAGCTGCCTACGCTGAAGGACACAGGTTCCCAAGTTTGTGCCTTCTGGAAGCTTGAAACTGGCAGTCCAGAAACAGATACCCAATCCATTTCACTGGTATGAAAACCTATTTCATCCCTTACACTCTCACAGGGACAATGAATTGTGTACTGGCCAAGTACAGAATGAGGCTTCCCTGATGACCGAAGTGATGGAGAATCTGCCTACAATGCAGGAGCCATGGATTCAATCCCCTGGAGGAGGAAATAGCAACTCACTCCAGTATTCATTCCTGGGAAACCCCATGGACAGAGGAATCTGGCTGAGCACGCATGGGCATGCACACACTCATGTGCATACACACGTCTGGAGGTACTGTTTTGATAGTCTTATACTTCAAGCTTTGATAGTGTTATACTTCAGGTTAAGATCTAAAATGAAAACTCCAGCAGTGAAAACAAGATAATCAGACTCTAGATTGTACCTCATCTGTTAAATTCTGATGCCTGAAGAAGCTAATGTCAACTCATTATGTAATACTCAATTTGTACAATAAATTATGAACCTGGGAAAAAAACCAAACAGCCTAACTCTATTGTAATTGTGTTTGAATACTTGATTTCTTTTTATAAGTAGATACTATGAGCTGAAGTAAATGATAATACTTTTTAACTTCTTAGGGAGACGGAATACTAAATATTTTGTCATCTTAAGAACATAAACATCAAAAAATAAGCTAAAATATTAGAATAAAGTCTAAGTAATTTTTGTTTTATTTTTGGAGAAGAGAAGAACTTTGTAAGCATTACAAAGAAGATGATTAGATTTAGCTAATTAAAATATGAGGACGAGTTGAGAGAGTGGTATCGACATATATACACTGCCATGTGTCAAACAGACAGCTGGTGGGAAGATGCTGTGTGATGCAGGGAGCTCAGCGGTGCTCTGTGATGACCTAGGGGTGGGGTGGGGGCTGGGAGGGAGGCTCGGGCAGGAGGGGACATATGTATACAGATAACTGATTCACATGGACAGCAGAGATTAACACAACAATGTAAAAAAATCAGACTCCAGTAAAAAATAAGAAATTTCCATGTTTTGGAAAATAAATAAAAAACTTGAGAAAACATATGTAAAAATATATATAAAATAGGCTTAATATTTTAGATATATAGGGCTCTAACCATTTAGTAAGAAGTAGATACTTTAAAACAAAAATGAGTCACGATTCAGAGGGAAATAGAGTTGGTCAAACCACTCATCAAATAAGCACAAATTAAAAGTGTAATGAGATACCACTTCTCATCTAGAAGATCGGCCTATGATGAAGCAGTCCATTGTCAGCACTGATATGGAGAAAGAGACACCTCCATCTATGGTTAATAGGAGTGTATACAGGGACACACTTTCTGAGGTCATTCTGGAAGCATGTGTCAAGACTGAAAATCTGCAAATGTTTTGAGTCAAAAGTTCTACTGCAAGAATTAATGCTAATAAGTGAATAAACAAAATAATGTCATGAGTACAAAGAAAGGGCATCACAGTGCAGTTTAGAAGAGACTAGAATTTAAATTACTATCTGATTTGTGAAATTGGTTCAATAAGTTATGGCACAATAGAGTAATTCAATATTTGCAGCCATTCATATTTATGATGTAGAACTTTATTCTTAGACATGGTAAGATTCTTTTTTAACAAAAGGTTGAAGCACTGACTATATCACATAATGTTATTTTTTGGAAAAAAAAAACTACATGCCTAGAAGAAATTTGGAAAGATGTATACCATTATCTGTGGGTAATTGGATTTTGGTAGTTTTACTTTAAAAAGACATTCTATTGTTTCCTATTTAAAAAAATGACTGTAGGCTCTCTCTTGCCTTCAAGATGCCCCATACTCTGCTTGTGGAGTGTTTCTAAATATATCCACTTCTTACCTGTCAAAAAACAAAAAGACTGTAAATGGCTTCTAATCTTAAAAATCGGGAAAAAACCCCTCATACACATAATTACAACTTGAAGTAAAAGGTTTTCCCCATTAATTTGAGCTCTGATGTTATGCTTCTTGTATTTTTCTTTTCCTTCTCTGTAAAATTGTCCTAAGAAAGATACCTTATTAAGGAAAGAGGGATGGGGGCGGGGTGACAGGTCTAATTACTCTTTGGGGTGTTCTGGCTCCACGAGGCATTGGCTGGAGGCATCCAGGAATCTAGCACCCACCAAATCAGATCTCTGGAAAGTGAGATCAAAGATACTTACTGCTGGCTTCTCTTTTGGATTAAAATGATTCCCCTTGCTCCTCTTAAATGGTTTTGGATGGACAATCAGGCCCAAGATCAAGTTAACATTGAACAGTGGCCTTTCTGTCTTGTTACCTCACAGATGCCTTGTAGAACTCAGTTATTCAACAATTCTTTTTGAATAGATGATTGAATGGAAAGATGGCCAGTGCCTGATACGAAGTAGTCACCCAACAAGAAATTGTTCTTTAATCATCTCCAGTCTCATCTAAGCTTCCCTCTATCACCCCTTATTCACTTTTGCTTCTGTGCAAATCAATTAAATGCCAACTCACAAGGCAGTACATTGTAAACTTCAAAGCATTATATAATATCATCATAATGCTAATGTTGTGATATCATTCTGTTCCTCTCTCTGCTCCCAGCTAACTTTTAATCACTATTTTTTTTTTTTAAAGAAAGGCACTGTGCTGGTTACTTTACTACACTTTGTAGATACTTAGTAAATGTTTTTAGAATTTTTTAAAAAAGAATTTCACACTAGTATTTCTTTAAAAAAATTTTAATTGAAGAATAATTGCTTTGCACTGTTGTGCTGGCTTCTGGCATACAGCAGTGTGAATCAGCCGTGAGTATCCGTGTGTCTCCTCCCTTGTGAGCCTCCTCCCCACCCGCTTCCCCATCGCACCCCCCAGGTCATCACGGGGCACCAGGCTGGGTCCCCACAGCTCTCTGCCTTACACACGGTTGGGTGTGTATTTCAACGCCACTCTCCCAATCGGCCTCATCGTCTCCTTCCCCCGCTGTGTCCACAAGTCCTTCCCCTCTGTCCATCTCTCTACTCCCGCCCTGCAAGTAGGTTCTACAGAATGTTTTAATACAAAAAATAATCCAATTAGAATGTGTCTTGAAAAGCCTAATATTCTACCTGAGAAGCAACAGATTTTAATCAACCTGAGGCTTTTAGTTCCCAATGACACGCCTACTTCACGAGTTTCACGTGCAATATGTGTGGCTGAGTCCCTTCACTGCTCACCTGGAACTATCATAACATAACTGTGTTAACTGGCTACACCACAATACGAAATAGAAGTTTAAAAAAAAAAAGAAATGCGCATGGATATTCTACTTTTCAGGGACGGGACATGGAATACTATGGGAATCATAAAATTATACAAGTGCCAAGCTGAAGCTGCCTGCCCTGGTGTCTTCAGGACGCACTCACCTACCTTTGCTTTAGAAAGGTGAGTCGGCCAGGTTCCCCATCTTCACCCAAACACATGCATCATCTACACTGCTCCCTGAGACGTGGGACTGGAAGTCTAATGATGTAACAGTCGGCAGGGGGAATAGCGTCAGTTATTTGTAAGAAAAGTACTTTTCATTGGAGAAGCTGGCAGCTGCAGACGCAATGGGAGTTATTAAAGCGTTACTAAGCAACATGTGTCTCTATTGGAATTTTCTGATCTAGCTTTCTGTTATTGTTTCTTTGTAGTTAAACTCCACTTAGAGCATCTTTGTATGATTTATGAAGAGAATAAAACATTTTATGGTCCAGAATGTGATCTGTCCTGGTAAATGTTCCATGTGAGCTTAAGAAGAATGTGTGTTATGCTATTGTTGGGTGAAATATTTTATAAATATTAATTAGCTCCCATTGATTAATGGTACTGTTCAGTGCAACTGTGTCTTTACTGATTTTCTGCCTATTGGATCCATCAATTGCTGATAGAAGGATATTGATATTTCCAGCTATACAGTGGATTTGTCTATTTTCCCCTGTATTTCTGTCAGTTTTGCCTCTTATATCTTGACATTCTGTTGCTAAGTATATACACATTAAGTATTGCTGTGAATTCTTTGAGAGTTGACCCCTTTATCATTATCATTATGAAGATAATTTTCCTTGTTGTAAAGTGCTTTATCTCAAATTATTATACCTATTCCAGCCTTCTTTCAGTATATCTTTCTCCTTTGCATCACTTTTAATCTATCTCTGTCCTTGAACTTAAAGCTGATTTCTCATAGAAAACATACAGTTGGTTCCTTTAAAAAAATCCCCTCTACACTCTTTTATGTATTTGTTTT